AGTCGTACAAGGATAGCACTTTGATCATGCAACTTCTTCGTGACAATCTAACGCTTTGGACTAGCGAAACAGATCCAGATGACGAGGCAACTGAAGATTGAGCCTTTCACTGAAGTTAGCGCAATTGCCCAAGTTTCTGTGCCTTCTAGTGACTCTAAATAGTCTTCGTTTGAAAATACGGACCATAAGATGTAAACTCTTATTATCCGCATTCAACGTAGCTTTTGGCTGTGGTCGTTATACATTGTAGGATTCTCATAGTACACGACTAACTTTGTACATTTACATAGTTCTTTGATGATGTGTTTACATTGGAATCTGTCGAACTTCTCTTAAAGAAGTTGAAATATGCGGTGATGGAAATAGAATTACTAGTGTTCCTTTCTTGTATTTAAATTGAAAGTAATTGGATAGGAAAAGAAACGTGTATAATTGTATTGCTCGAATGTTAAGTGTTCAACGATTTCCTAGTGTACAAGATCTCTAAATCTTGCTGCGTTTGAAATTAAAATTGTTTACACCCACAAAACTCAGAGAGGTTATCATTATTATTTTTTTCAGTTTTGTTATTCAAACGACTACGACAAGGCGTAAGAGAAACCGCCAACCTCAGTTTCCGCGTACACGTGTAATCAAATGTTTCGTAATTGGAAAGGATTGCGAAATATGTGTGATTTTGCCGCGCTTCAAAATGACTGACCTTATCTTGGTCAAATGTCTATATATTTTTAAGGGGAATTGTAGTTGAATTTCCTAAGATCGACTCCCAATTTCGCCCTTCGTATTTCTTGTTGGCCAGGTGTCGAGAGTGAATAAATTATTCTGAAAAAGGGCAATTACAATTTCCTTCTTTTCATTAAAATATCGTGCTGGATTTGGACAATTGAACAATCAAATGGAAACAATACAAGAGATGACCTGGAGATTGCAGATATAAAGAATACAACTGATTGAAAGAACTATAAATCTGAATATATTGTCCTTAGTGTTACGTGTGATGTTGTAAGCATCTGTAATCCTGTTGTTTACATTCTAGACAAGATTTAATTTTGCCATGCTAAAGGTCAAAAATCAAAGTATAAATTTGTTGCCTTGCCTCAGCCAAATGTGCCTTATATTCAAAATTTGGTCCGAAAATGATCCCTAAGTGGAAACCCATCGTAAAAGAATATGTTGGGTATCCAAATTATTGGAAGTGTGTGCTTCTCAGGGTCCTAAATACGTGACAAACAAAAATTGACGCCCTTTTCAAGGCCTAACCTGAAAAATGACTCGTGATTCAAAAGCTAAAAATTAAAAGGCAAGAACTCAAATTCTATCTTTCACTCTATGGGATTTCTCAGTTGTAATGATTTGTTTCTAGTGTAGCTGAGCATTTATGCACTTGAATTTTAGCTGATACAATGTAGGTCACCAATCTAAGGATCAAACGGCAAACAATCGATACCAACAAGGGCCAAAAAATGCCAGGGAAAACCACTATAAGTTTTTCTAGTCAGTGACAAACAAAATATATCTGATTGTCTTTTCCTTTTATTACATTCCACCATGTTAAGCTACGTTTGGATTTCAAGTCAGAAACCTTGCGTGTGTGAAAAGCGCTGGAATGGCCCCCTGGGGTTTGCAAATGCCNTTTGGACAATTGAACAATCGAATGGAAACAATACAAGAGATGACCTGGAGATTGCAGATCTAAAGAATACAACTGATTGAAAGAACTATAAATCTGAATATATTGTCCTTAGTGTTACGTGTGATGTTGTAAGCATCTGTAATCCTGTTGTTTACATTCTAGACAAGATTTAATTTTGCCATGCTAAAGGTCAAAAATCAAAGTATAAATTTGTTGCCTTGCCTCAGCCAAATGTGCCTTATATTCAAAATTTGGTCCGAAAATGATCCCTAAGTGGAAACCCATCGTAAAAGAATATGTTGGGTATCCAAATTATTGGAAGTGTGTGCTTCTCAGGGTCCTAAATACGTGACAAACAAAAATTGACGCCCTTTTCAAGGCCTAACCTGAAAAATGACTCGTGATTCAAAAGCTAAAAATTAAAAGGCAAGAACTCAAATTCTATCTTTCACTCTATGGGATTTCTCAGTTGTAATGATTTGTTTCTAGTGTAGCTGAGCATTTATGCACTTGAATTTTAGCTGATACAATGTAGGTCACCAATCTAAGGATCAAACGGCAAACAATCGATACCAACAAGGGCCAAAAAATGCCAGGGAAAACCACTATAAGTTTTTCTAGTCAGTGACAAACAAAATATATCTGATTGTCTTTTCCTTTTATTACATTCCACCATGTTAAGCTACGTTTGGATTTCAAGTCAGAAACCTTGCGTGTGTGAAAAGCGCTGGAATGGCCCCCTGGGGTTTGCAAATGCCTGACCTGGTGGGGTTTTACAAAATTCGCTAACGCCCCATTCCCGGGGCTGACAAGGCACACAAATCATGGCCGGCAGTGTGTGTGTGTGTGGGGAAGGGGGCACAAAGTACAGCTGGAATTGACTGATGCACTATGTGGGATCATGAAGACTATGGAGTCTACCCTCTCTTGGAGTCTATCACCTCTCTTGCATCCATGATGTGAAGTATAACAACTCCCTCACTAAAATGAAGGAGTGATGAAACAAGGTCCTAGGTGACTCCTGATCTAACATCCACTTCTTCCTTTTATTTACAAGTATACACAAAACAAATTGAGAGGAGAATCTAGCCATTTATCAAAAGTCACTTGGGGAAAGTCTACGTAGAAACGAGGATGTTAAGAAATTGGACCATTAAAGGGGCTGCAGTGCCCCAGAAGGCTAATTCATTTTGTTTATAGTGCAAATTACACATCTTTGTTTACTATGGAACTTGAGAAATTTCTTATGAATGACAAAAGCATAGCTTCCTGCCTCCCACGCATTAAAACAAAAATTACAAACAACAAAAACAAACTTTGAAACTTAAGGCTGAAATACCACAGTTGCAATCTGTTTCAATCTTTTTCCAGTTAAATGCCCCCTTTTGTGTTAGTTTTGTTATTTATGTTACAGGTCAAAATCATATTCAGGTTTGAGTTTTCTAACCTAGGTTGATTCTCGATTTCCTTTCTCTCCCAGCACTAATTCATGAATAATTAGGTCTAGGAGACAAAGGAAAGCGAGAACCAAGTGAACCTAGGTTACAAAATTTTAACCTGAATTCAGTTTTGAACTGTAACATTTTTTTAACCGACTCGGTGTGGTGGCAGTTCCGACTATTTGAATTTTTACAAATTTTGTGACCGCTCCTTTCAGCTGAATATTCTAAACAATATTATTCAATTTCTCTGTAAAAATCGAGAATTGAGGAAGGTGATGTTCTCTGAGGACACAGGCCTAGATCACTTATAAACAATATAGTACAGTTGAAACTCTCCTTGCGACCACTCTCATGAGTGACCAGCTCTAGTTACGGCCACCTTCATTAAACCCCGTTTGAACTGTGACTTAAACTTTGTAATAAAAAGCTCTTGTAAGCTGTCGCTCCTGTAAGCGACCATGACAACCTTTTTTTTGCCATACGTATCAAATTTCATGACCATTCTTGACTTTTTCATCAGCCGCTGAAAAGACTGGCCTTGTCGAGAGGTTATTTTGGCAGTTGGGGACACGCTTTAGTGGCTGTTACTGTTGTAGAGAGGTTTAAATAAGAGTCAATGTATGGACTGTCTGCCGAGACAAAATAAAGTGGCCATTGTAGAGAGGTGGCGGTTATTGGAGGTTCAACTGTAACTTCTTTTGCTTTTTTTTTCCTTTATGAATTATTAATGAGCTTTTTAAGCTCTTGTAATGTATCGGTCAAATTGAAGCTTCAACATGCCCCCCCCGGGCAACCCCCCGGGCATTTGACTTTTTTGAAAATTATTGTTCAAATTCCCCCCTACCCGGGCCAAAATGCCGTTCAAATGCCCCCACCCCGGGGACATTTCACAGGCACAAAAAGGACAGAAGGACGGTGGAAACGCCTTCAGTTGTCGAACAAAATCTCTATAAATATAACAAAAACTGAGAAACACTGTTAGTGTGTTTACTACGAACAAAAGTCTCGTGCAGAGCGGCGGAAATCGCTGCTACTAGGTCACTGAATGCTCAGCTTTTCTTCGTCATGCAACATACAAAGCGTTCTATGAAAAAGATCCCACCTATTGAGATTACTACATCAAGACCATTTCACTAACATGCATCATCGCTCACCATATTAATTAACCTACTTGCAGTAGGTCAAAGTAGTTGACCTGAGCTTTTTATTTTATTTTATTTTATGTTGTTGTATTGAATTGCCGGTATAGGTATTGTATTTTATTGTAAACACAACAATAGAATACATTTAAACATACAAAGCTCGAATCCAATATTAAAAATTTTAAAATTTAAATACTTCAAATACACCACAAAGCTTGTTTAAGCCCCTTCCTAGTAACCAATTGGCCACAAAGGCCCAATCTTTTCCACGAAAATCCTCTAACACCAAGAGAGAATGATCATTCTCTCGTCTAACACCGCGTCCCCCATAGCTCGCCACGCCAAAGATTTTACATGAAATCGAGGGTGCAGTTCAAATTCCCCACCCCTAAAGCATGGGGATCAAATTCCCTACCCCCTGGAAGACTCTGATAATCAAATTCCCTCCTCCCCGGGACGGCAAAGGTGTCAAATGCCCGGGGATATGCCCAGGGGGGGGGCATGTTGAAGCTTCGATTTGACCGATACATAAGTGACCACCCTTTATTGTTTTACCATGCGGTTGCTTACGAGAGCTCATTCTCAGAAGCGATCAGCTCTAGTTCTGACCACTTTTTTGCATTTCTGAGGTGGTTGTTATGAGAGCTTCAACTGTAAAATATCCAGAACATTGGATAGGTGATTTTACCAAAGAACCTGAAATGAAGCTGAAAATTTAAAAAAATTACAGACGTTTAAAATGTAACTGTGATTCAACAGTTTTCTGTTTGTTCACTTGAACCCCTAGTTTGCCTGTGTTTTAGGAAAATACTTTTGAATTCCAGAATACTTTTTTGCCTTAGGTGTTACTTTATTAGTATTTAAGACCACTCCAGTAGTTTGTTGTTTCCGGTGTTGCTGCAACTCCCTCTGTACTTCACTTGGAAGCTCAGCAAAAACTGAGGGATCTATTCCCTTGGGACAGTCCACACCCACAGGGTCTTCATTATCTTGGGATTTCTGTGAACTTACCAGTGTGTTTGAACAGCAAGGTAGTTTATGGTCCTCTCTATCAAAGGAATCACTTTGGCTTGAGTTGTCTTCATCTTCAAGAAATTTAGAAGACTTTGCCTTTGCTCTATTTCTAATAAATGCTGTTGGATTATAATTTTTAAAATCATTTGTTGGGTTGCTGTTAGCAGAGGATGTTGAACCTTGGTGTTGGGAGGCTGACTTCTGAAAGAATCTAGAAATGTCCTGGGACTGCACATTTAAAGATTTTTGGAAGTTTGTCAGTGTTATTCCCAGCAAAGTCAAGTGAAATGGTTTTTTTACATCAACCACCTTACTAAACAAATGCAGGCAGGTAGACAGGAGTTCTTCTTTTGCCTTTTCCTTGTCAGCAAAAGAAAAAGGATGTGGAAGTCTACACTGACGACTTTCTCTCTTATGAGAGTTGTCTGTTTGTCTTCGCACAGTGACTTTTACAGTGTCAGGCACATTACCATCACTTGAAATTCTTGGAAGCAATCCTTCAATGAGGTTACTAATTCGCTTCCTTGCATCTTCAACAGAAGAACATTTCTTGAAAGAATCCTCATCAGTAATTGACTTGAACTCACCAGAAGGTATGACCTTGCTGTCATCAATACCATGGCATAGCTTAGTCATCAACATAGCCTGGGGCTTCCCAAATTCCTGCTCCAAAACTTGGTTAGGACAAGAGAGTAAATCCTTTACTGACAAAACATTTATTGTTCGGAGTTTTTTGGCCATTGCATGTCCAATACCTGATAGAGTTAAAAATAAGATCACCACAGTTATTGAGATAAACTGTCATAGTATACAGGTAGTTCTTCCTTATAAATGAAGGGAAACAGTGCAGAATTATTACTTTTTGGAAAAAATTGTTGGTACCACAAAATAAATGTGGACCGCTCATCACCAACCTTTATACCCTTTTAATTAAGGGTTCCAATCAAAAAGACACCCTGATCAAGACGCCTAAGTGAAACGGTGTAACTGGTTTGATGTTTATGTTTGTTGATTATTTTTGCCTTTTTAACTTATAAATGAAGGGAAAAGAAACATTAAATTCCACGTAATAAACACATTTTGAAGAAAAAAAATCTAAAAAGGCGAGGAAGTCTCAAGAAGCCATGAAGACCTATAGGTGGGACTTCCTCTTTACATTAGATTTAGTTGTTACTATATTATTAAATATATACTTATATAAATAAAGAACACCATATAACAAAGTAATTTACAAATGTATAGAAAATATTAAAAGAAAGTTAATTATCTAATGATAATTTTAGTAATAAATAATAATTACAAACAATTTATTGATATTCTGTAAATTAATTAAATATGATTTAAGTAAATGTTTAAAGATTCTCATGTTATTTTATTTCAAACTTGAGAACCTGAAAATCATATCCTCTTCAGGGACACATAACTGCTTAGGCCAAATAAGCGAGTGCCCCCATCCCCGCAGGAGCTCCAAACCTGAAAGGCCATACTTTATGCCTTAGTGGTGGGAATTGGCCAATATTTCATAATTGATCATATAGAGATAATCATATTGACCCACCCTTAATAATTGGAAAATTTATTTAAAAGAATTCCATCATTTTATTTTTCACCTTTGAGCTGTTTTTAAGAAGTTCAACACAAAAAACATTGGAATTCCACTTATTTTTCACGTTCGTGCTGTGTTTAAAAAAACAAAATAAATCAAATGAACAAACAAAATGCATCAGAAAATGGAGTAGATTCCACCCTGCTTGCCATAGAGTTCTAGTAGCTCAGTGGTCAGAGTGTCTGATCTAGAACTCATAGGATTGTGAGTTTGATTCTTGCCTGGAGCTCAGAATTTTTTTTGTGTTTTTGGGTGGTAATTAAAAACTCTATTAACTCTTTAGCTATATTATTGCCTTTCCCTCAATGAAGTAGGTAGTGTACGTCAGCAAAATGGGAGAAATGTCATTGACGGCAAAGTTTGTCAATAAATTTTGTCACTATTATTGTAGTAAAAAAGTAAAACTCACCAGGAATCTCTCTGGCATTAAGATGTGACAAGAAGTTCTCAGCATCTTCAGGAAGAAGGGTTGTCTGCATGTTGGGTTTCTTCCATGCACCAACAAGCTTGGCAAGGAGTTTATTGTAGGAAACTCCAGCACAGCAAGTAAGACCTGTCTCACAAAGAATTGCCTGCCTGACTTCAGTGGCGATGCTAGACCCAATCTTTAGCCTTTCATAGCAGCCACAGGGACAAGGTTTCTGCAAGAATTAAATTAGGCTGGTTCAGACGCCAAACTTTTCATGAGCCGAACCTAATTTGAATTAAGGCCGACCCAAATTATTTAGACCGGCTGAATTGATTCAGATGCCAATCTTAATTCCAGCCGAACTAAATTCAAAAGGAGAAAAATGCTCATTTTGGTCAAACTGCCTACAAAATATGTTATAATAATTTATGCATTAGGTTCAGTACATGGAAAGTTCGGCGACTGAATCAAAACCGTTCCAAAGTTGTTCCAAATATGAAATTCACGGCCGGACTAGGCTAAAAGAACCGCTGAGCCGTTCCAAATTGAAACAGGCGTTCCTAACTGATTCAGACGCCGAACTTGTCATGTACTCAATTCAATGTATTAGATTCGGCTCACGGAAAGTTCTGCGTCTGAACCAGGCCTCAGACCCTTCCACGGTTTATTTTCAACTTTTGACACTCCCCAGTTGGGGAAAATCCATCAACAACACTGGAAACAGTGCCCCTGGGTCTCCATGGATACCCTAACTGGTGCTCACATTACAAATTAAAGTAAATTTCTGATTCTAATAAAAATAAATAAGGTTCTCAAACCTCTTCAAACAATAAGGAAAACTACTACAGTGAAACCTCTATTAAGCAGACCCCCAATTAAGCGGACACCCTCTACTAAACGGACACTAAGCTGGTCCCAAAAGTAACGTCTTATATTTCCCTTAATTTATAATGAACTCCTTTTCAGAGGACGCCTCTATTAAGCAGACGTGGACACTAAAATAAATTGTATTTGGCTCATTTCTATTGTTAAAAACCTCTAATAAGGGACGGTTCATTATTTATGGGAATAACCGGGTCGGGAAAAAACCGAACAGGCTTTGAAACTTTTTCTTGCCGTGGCGACGGGCTTTGTGTTTTTTTCTTGAACTTGGGCTTTAGAAAAAATCAACATAAAATAAAACTGTGGTAGAAACGCGGCAGTCGTTTGATGAGAACAACACATGGAAACTGTATTCGTCGTTGAAAATTCACCCGGTAAATTGTCGTACTTTCATATCAAATAAATATTGCTACAATATTTTTGGTAATGCAGGGATATACCCGCAAGAAAAAGCTCGCGCTTTGCGATCGAACACTCGAGAATTTTGACAGGCCACGGAATGACACAAATGTACTTTGTGAGCTGCTCTTTTATAGTTGTTTATATTCATTGACATTTCAGAGCTTGTAATCAAATTAGAATTTCAAACAGTGATGCATGGACAAGGATTTTACTCAAAGTGAACTCCAACGGTTGGAATATTAAATCTTCGGACTCCGCCAGACTGTACACAAGAAAACAAGATGTTTTGATNCAGATCCAAAATTATAAGAGTGAACTGCAGCTTAAACTGAAGCTACATAAACTTACTATGGAGAACTGAATTGTGACTCAGTAAACTCCAGCTTAGTGTTTTTCTAAAGATAGTGTGAGTCTTTTGACTGGAGCGCGTAGTTCCTCCCTTGGTAATAGCTTTGAATAAGCTTAACAGTCTTTAAACTGTTTTGTTATTGCCACAGTTTGTGATCAGGCAAGACCATGGTTTCGGTTCTCCACACGGACCTCATCAGTTGCCGGGTTGGCTTTGTGCTTAGTTGCTTTTGCAAGAGCAACTTTAGTTGTACTTTGTTGTGGCGAGAACGGTACAGCCGTTCTGTCTATTGAGCTTTGAACTTGAACATAAATACCCACGTGGCGGATCGAAGTTCTTGTTTTCCTATTGGCTTCTGAACGTAACCAATTACGGAGGGTGTATTTTGATCCTCTTCTGCTTCAAGCTAGAGGTGTGTTTTCTTGGATAGCATTTCGTGATAATTTAAGCACTTTCTTTTATGGAAGAGTTCAAGGACTCTTGTAAATAGGTGCGCACAGAGTTTCCGTACACTCCCTCTAAAAACTGGAGTGGATACGTTCCTTGTTAGGTGCGCATTGTTGAACTTTCTACTCTGTGCTTGGTTCTTATTAGTACCTGTGCCTGTCTCGCGAACGTGTTTAAAAACATGTTTGTGGAAACTTATTCCTTTAACAAAATGTCGAAAACTTTCAAGGGAAACGTTACTCCTCAAGAAGTTCTATTTGGAGAGGTTGGAAAACTCCAAACGCTTCTCACAAGTCATTCAATACTAACGGTTATATATCCGTGTTCAAAGATATATTTAGGACTTTTTCACTTATTTGGCAAACGATGAAATGCCTCAAGCTGGATGGCATTTGTTAACGTGCACTTTTCACAGATGTTTATAAATTATTGTTTGTAATCGCTGAACTCGTTTGATAGCCGTTTGCTGACTCGAACGGCGAACAGTTGTGTATTTGACCCGAACATGCACTAGTTGCTCTAGTCGTAAATAAACATTAGGGCCATTTATATGAGGAAAAATGAGACGCGTCTTACATAAGACGCGTCTTAAATAAGCCGCGAACTGTACCATTTATACAAGCATGTCTTATCTAATAAGACGTGTCTTAGCTAAGCCCCGTCTTATTTTAGACAAAATGTGCCGTTTATACGGAAAGTTCGAGTCTTATTTACGTCTTATTTTTCCTCGTATAAATGGCCCTAATGAATGATTTTCACAAGGTATTCACTTCAATTTGAACGGGCTTTGAAAAATTTGACCCCAAATACTGAACGGGCTACGAAAAAACAAAATGCCATTTGGGCGGGCTTTAGAAAGAAAGAGGAAAGCTATTATTTCTTTCCCGACCCGGTCATCCTGGTAAATAATGAACCGTCCCTAAGCAGACACCGGACTGAATTGACAACAGTAGTATTAGATTGCGTCCTTGAAATACGTACCATAGTTGATTAATAAAGATAAATCAATACATTTAGCTGTCAATAAACTGTGGATTACACCAATATCTGGCCGTATGATTGTCATCCGCGATCAAAGTTCACCTAAAAGTCTTTCACAAAGTATAGCACAACTCCCTTAGCTTCCCTAACAACATGGAACTTTATCACAGTACAGAGTAACCGTTGAATGTTAATTGTTAACCAACATTGCGCCCAATTTTTACAAACATCTATTAAGCGGACACCCTCTATTAAGCGGACACTTGGGAAGGTCCCGAAGGTGTCCTCTTATAGAGGTTTCACTGTAGAAGGCAATAACTATAAACTCTTGCTCTATTCTGGCTTCACCTGGTAGATTTCATGGATCATGTGTCTTAAAGGGGTTGTCAACCAATGTATCGGCCGACATCTCAGTCGACTGTCGATTGACATGTTGGTTGCTGTATTGGTCAAGTGTCAATCAAGTCTCTGAAGAGTCTCGCCCTCTATGGTCTATCAATCGATTGATCTGTCGCTAGGCTGTTGTTTTTCCCCCGAGGGATCACCGCGATATCACTAACACTTGGTTGATGTTAAGGCCGATACCCCAGTGGACATTTGTCAAGTTAGTAGATACATCACCCCATTCTCGTGCGACTCTCAACCAACATTTGACCAATAGAATGATCGATACGTTGACCAACAGACAACTGAGATGTTGGTTGATACATCGCCTATATATCGACCGACTCCCCAACACTCAACTGATATGTTGACCGACAGTCGATCTGATTTCATCACCTCTCAAAAATTACCTTTGCATCACTGGCATCAGTATTCATGCTGTATATCAACCCTGAAAAGTTTCTTTCTTCACAAGGACTGTTTTGCAGCCGCATGGCCACAAGCTCGGTGACATCCAAAAAATTCTCATCCATTCCTAACCTTTCAACTTGAGGGGTGAATTCCCGGGTCAAAAGAGAATGTACCCTTAAGGAAAATTCCCTGTAAACTGTTAGGTCTTCACCGTTCACCAACACTAGGTCTGGGCAAGTCTTTTTGGCATCGCTGATGTAGGATAGCTTCGTAACACCGAATTTCCTAGCAACGTAATTACAAGTTACGACGATGTGTTTCTGCTGAATTCCCAAGGGTATATTTCGGAGGTCTGGGTTACGAATCATTTCTACTTGCGCGTAAAAACAGTCGATGTCCACGTGGATTATAGTTCTACTGTGTCCAAGGCAGGGATCTGTCTGCATCGAAGGGTTAATTCCTGAGCTTAGATTTGGCTGATTTGATTTTGACACCGGAGCGTCAAGCCTTCGTTTCTTTGCAACGGAACTTTTCAAGCTGCTCGGAGATGGAAGGGAACCAAGCCACTCCTCTTCGTCCGATAATTCTTCCTCTTCCTCTTCCTCTAAGCCGTAAGATGATCGAAATTCTTCCAAGCCTCTTTTGGCTTCCAT